ATGAAGATTTCTAGATTTTTTATTGATTTGAATGTGTCAACAACTTGTTTTAACATCGATTTTATGCTGCGTGACCTTGTTTGGAAATTAACGGATGTTGGACGATTGACAACGAACAATTGGCCGTCAATTATCTGAATGTAATGGCACTCAGGGCATGCAGCTTCCATTTTTATAATGTCATTGTATGTAATCTTTCGAGGGAAATTCTTAAACTCGGTTTTAATTCTCGAATAAAGAGTCAGATTGAGATTGTTCTCATAGGGATCATTGAAAAGTTCACATACGTCCTCCTGTTTGTTGAGGTAACGTACAGAAACATTTTTCAGAAATGAATTCTCGCAGTCTAATTGATAAAAGTCTTTTAGAAAGATTGCTTCATCATCATTGTAACATCTAAAAGGGTTTCTTAACCTCCGAACCGCTCCATAGGTGTTACTTGTATCAGTTGGATGTGCTGTCAGCCGTGTTTTACCATCAATCGAAGCTTTCCTCAATCCAGAAATAGCCAAAACTATAAGAATAGGAACAAAGAGCTTTTTGAGCACCAAGAAACATTTCAACATAAAACGTCGCACGATATGTGAAATGTATAACATTGTAATGCTGAAACGAAAAAGATGAATACATTCTTTGCTTGAGATTGTATTGATCTGATTTGACTTTCACGGCTTATCGACTTTACAGAAGCACCGGTCTATGATCATTGCGGAAAAAGTGAAAAGTAAATCATATGGTTTGAAATTCGAACGAGGCCATAGACCCTGATAGCATTGCTTTTCTGAGATGGATGTGATCGGATGTGATTAAGGAAAAGGTACGTTGATCAAACCTCACACTCATACCTCGCTCTCAGTATTTTCACTACAGCTAGAAAAGCATACTTTTATCAAGATGTACTCGAGATCAAAACGCGCATTCTATATTTGCATGGTTTTACATACATAAGTTAACTTGATACGAAGACGTAGCATAGAAAAATTATTTGGCATTGTATTTTAGAGATTCTTTTTCTTACATCGGATAGGCCAAGTGAAGTGGTGCTACACTGCTCAACTTTCGATTTCGAAAATATGCTTTCGGCAGAAGAGATTTGAGCAGGTTGCTCAAAATCAGTTTTTAACGCGCATCACGCGTTTAACATCAGATGCACCAAAAACATCAGACTTCGCTGCCTTCAACCTAGCTTTACTTCCTCGAAAGATCGTATTTTGGGACTCTTTAAGTAATAGGTTTTTTTTTCGAAAGCGCATTCACGCACTATTTGATGTACATTTGCACGCTCTATAAAAGTGGAGCCTTATATCCCAGTTTCACTAAGCGGATCATTGTCCACCTATGTACCCTGTTCTCCGATAGAAGTTACAGGCCATGAGCTTTGATTTTCGTAAACCAGACTGTTCTTTTCTATAGAATACTTACGATGATTCATTCAAAGTGGAAAATCTGCTTTGGGATCGAAGTCTGTTCAGAAACTACACTCAAAAAACAGAAGGAGTTTTACCGAACCTAAAAGGTTTCCTATACTTTGACTGAACGATTTTTAATTCAGAAAAACGAAAAATGTTCCGTGCTTNGAGAGAAAAAAAGAAACAAAGGACGAGCGAAACTTGAATAGAAATGAATGAAAATATCACATAATACCAAAGTCAAGTTTAGCACCAGGACACTTCTGCTCGAAATTTCGTTTATATGACACTTAGTTGAACACGATGAAATAGCATAGAAAAATGCAGTTTCATTTTCTCTATCTCTCTGCGAAAAGAAAATTTTTTTTTGACCATTCAATAAGAAAATAAGGTAGTGGCGACATTACTTTTGGATATACCTAAGTATATTCTTTCACGATTGGTTTCCCATGGGGTGGCAAATATCAAATTGGTACAAATTTAAAAGTTTGCGTGCCAAAATTATTCAAAATTTCAACTTTTGAAAACACTAAAGTTTTAAAATTCCTAGAATTTTTACAAATTAAGTAAACACTAATAAAAGTACGTTATTGCCCAAATTATCACTGTAAGACAGAAATCAGAAATTTACCTCCGATATGCATTTGAAATTCAATCAGAAATCAGAAGTCTACTTTTGATATACAATTACAATTCGACAAGAAATCAGAAATCTACCTCCAGTATGCATTTGAAATTCAATCAGAAATCAAATTCTATTAGAATTCCAGGAAAGCTAGAATACCTTTTTATCAATCAAAAATCAATGAAAGAGGTGAATTTTCAGCGAAATATATTTGTAACGAACAGTAGTAGTGATTAATGAAAAGGTATTCAAACTGCTTGATCATATGAGTCAATACCTGTAGTTTTACAGTTTTTTAAATGAAAAAGAACTGTGAAGAATATACTCGATTTTGGATAATTATATCCTCGAAATGAACTTTTGAATTGAGACAGGTAAGAAAACATTTGTTCAGCGACTTGTGTATTGATGGATTTGAAGATATCATTGTGAGATGGATGATCAGGTTGCATTACTGTTTTACACATTGATCTTGTGTGATTCTTCACATGAGAGCGGTCAATTGCCATGGTTAGATGTATTGAAAACTCCGTGAAATTTGTTGATTTCAAATCCTCCGTACCAAAATATCTTTTTATAAATAGTTTCAATGTGCACGCACAATCGTAACACATTGCAATAGGTAACTGACCAAACCGCATTATTGTTAGAATATGATGAAGAACTCGTCGCACTATTATTTTGTCATAGACAGAAAGAAATATATTAATTACTAGCAAAATAAAGCAAATTTCTCCACTAACTTCCTTCAGAACATGGAAGTTCTGTAAATCCAACTATGACAGCACAACTTAGGAATGTGGCTAAAAATCCAAAACTACTGATTTTACATTTAATATTTACTCCAGAACGAAACACATTGCAAAGCCTGTCATCATATTGGCTATCATTATTTATATAATCACTTAGAGCCAATTTGTTCAGTGCCTGTTCTTTATCTTTTTTGATGATCTCGAATGCCGCATTAGTCGTTCGAGCATTTGCCTCTAGTATTGCTGGTTGATGATGTTGGCAATATCTGCGATCGACACCAGGTTCTATGACAAAAGCATGAACTCATATAATGATTTACAGATACTTATAAAATATACCTTTCCTCAACGGTGAGTGCAAACAACCCATCTGAATTGGACCTAGCTCTGGGATGGTACAATCAAACACATTCTTATACTAGCAAACCAGTCTATTGGCTTTTTGATGACCATCGACGACAAAAATTTTTGAGCACGTTTCGGGATCGCATTTTTTCGTAAAACGTTGGTGGTTTGTCCAAAAACCAACAAAAGTTTTATATAGATCATTTTTAATTAACAAGAAATATGGATTACATTCGTCAATATCACGTACAGACATTGGTATTTGAACAATCTTTTCATTTGTTGTCATAAATTTAAATTTTGCGATATTGATGAAAAGCCATACCATCTGGAAATTTTTTTCATTCAAAACTCTTCGGAAGAAAACAATCAAAATATATTGATGAGCAAAGCAAAATGGTTATCATCTTACGAAATACAACTGCCATCTCCAGCGGCCGCATTATGTCCTAATCTCTTGTTGATTAATTTAATTTTTGAATTATAAGCGTTGGTATATCCTTCAAAGGATACTGTATTTTGGATTAAGTTTTGGTCAAAGTCTATCAACAAATTTTGATCAAATATTTGGTTACCATTCAGGTAAATAAATTTATCATTCTTGATTGATTCTGACGTGATGAACTTATTATTTTTCTGTATATAAAAATTTGGAAATATTTCAATATCACATGTTGCACAATAACAAGTGGCAATAACTATCGATGAAAATCCTGATTAATTATGCGTTATTAAAAAACATTATGTATTCACTTACGAGCTTTATATGTTCGTGTCAATGACATCACTGTTTTTGAACGATGAACATATACAGGTTTCAATGATGTTTGACATTCAATACATGTGGTAGTATATGGTTGTAAATACAACTCATGTGCATTTGTAGATTCGGCGATATTTTTGGCACTATATTTGTCAATCATTTCACGTATAGAATATTGCTGGAACATTGCATCAAATAATGGCTGTGTTGATATAAATTCAATTATTGTTCGTACATTATGAACTTCGTACGATTTGCCAAAATGTAAACTAATAATATTCCGTATGTGCTCATGCTTATTCGGCAATTCTCGTGGAAAAAATTTGTTCCAATTCATTACGCACATGATCTCATTCAAACACATTGTTCTCATCATCAGTATTAAAGTATGCTCTTCATCAGTGATTTCAACGAGTGTACGTGTTGTTACGTCAGCAAAATCTGCATTCATATTGATTTTTTTATCTGAAAACATACGTAAAAAAATTATTTCCTAGATAATATTTACTTCATGTTTTAATTTAGTCGAATATCACACATCTCAAGGAATTCTGTACATTGTAACGCATTTTCATGTATTATAATTTATCAAAATCCATCACGTTTCATCAAGATAAATGAATAATCTCCATAAATACCTGGTAATTTAATAATTAATTATATGGGCGGTCTGAAGTGAGAATTACATGCTTCTTGTTTTTATTTCCATATTAATGCAAGAACTATCTGTGAAGTAAAAATGAGTTAAAAATATAAAAATTGACATGCATAAAAAATATTCTAATAGCGAAAAAGAGTCAATAAAAATATCATTGCTTAAAAGGTAATAATGCTGTCAAATAAAGTTAATTAATATTTTTTCTTTACTCTTTTTGGTTGTGTTCGTATTTCGTTTTCCTGACCATCAACTATCCGAAGTTTTCGTTTTGGTCGTGCAGCTAAGGACAATGTACTTGTAATTTCTGTTTCTGTGGTGCCATCGATGTGTGCTTGTTGTGTTAATTCTTGAAGTATGTCATCTGTTATACTCTTCTCGCAAGGTAATGAACGTGATATTTGTGTTAATGGTAATTCATTTTCATTATTAGTATCGGTTTCCTTTGATACATCGGATAGTCTGAAACGTTCAAAGTCCCATCGAACGTGCTCCACGTAAAAAGTATGTGATTGAAAAATATTGATACACTCATCCGATAAAGTCCAATTGTTATTGGTGAACACATTTTCTTTTTGATGCGGATAGAAACTTTTCATATAATCTTCAAGAGACATGTTTACCTGCGATAAAATGAAAAATAAGATACGTGTTATGAATTAGAAATTGTTGAAAAAGGAAGAAAGAGATGTGTTACGTTTTTTTGTAATGATTCAATGAATTTAAATTTCGATGTGTTGGATTGTAATTGAGGTGCTTTCCTTTGAAAAAGAATCAAAATTAGTTTATTTTCGGAAGAAACATAGTGTCAGTTCTTACTTGATCCACCCCTCTCTCAACGAACGTCTGATCTCTTTTTTAATAATTTTTTTCGACCGACTTGGTTCTACCCATAAATCATCTCTATGCTCGAGTAGTTCAGCTCCAATCAAACGTGCAATTGCTTCTAAACGTATTGATGGTCTATTGCATATTTGCGTAAGATCTGTTTTTGTATAAATAACAGATTTACTACATAATATGTTGTTCATTGCTTTTTTCACCGCTTGTTCAGTATGTTTCTCACCTGTTTTATTCACTACGAAGAATATTGTAATAAAAGTTGAAAACACAGAAACAGTCTACACGAACCTTCTTTGATTTTATACGCTGCTGATGTAGAAGAACGTGCATCATCAGTACTCTCGTTCAATATTTCAGTTTCGACCTGATTACTACATGCAGATATAGAACAATTATCAAGATCTTGCGATATTTGTAAAGTAACAAGCTCAGATGTTTCTAAATGAATATATATAGATTTTTGAAACTAGGAAATAGAAGAACAAATACTATTATTAACGTCAGCAACCTGCTGCTCATCTATCGATTCCTCATCTAAACCTTGATGTTGCGTTTCATAATCTTTTCCACTTGTAATACATGGAACATTGACTATTGATTCTGTAGTTTTTTCCAATTGAGCAGGAAAACTGGTTGTTGGTTTTGTAGGATTTATTGCATTACAATTATCATTCATTTGTTTTCGTCGATTACACAAGAGTAAGTTTTCAATCTCATCATAATTACAAGAGAATATCTCATTGTTTGTAGTAGCAAAACATCCATCTTCAACTTCTTGTATATTACCATTCTGAATATGATCTTGAGTTACTGTTTCCAAATGAGTTTTATAATATTTATAATATGGTACAAGACAAGAACTGTGCTTGAAAATTTCTATAGATAGTGGTGATAATTTGTTATTAGGTGGAATGGACGACGTGCGATAAACCGAAAAATATTCCTCGACATTTATTCCATGTTTGATCAATTTGTTTTTAATAAACTCTTGAAATATATCATTAGATTTTGTTATTGGAATTTTCATATATGATTTTATTTTTCTGTTTCGAGAATCCATTAAAAAATAATTGAACTTTAACAGACCGTCATTGATCAATTCTTGTAAAGCTTGTTCGCCTAATGCAGGACGATTTTTAAGAATTCCACTTAAAATAATAAATATGAAGTGAATATCTAACTAAACAATTAGAGACTTGGATGATCTTACGTCTGTCCTGTTATAGGATGTCTGTCTGTCAATGTTGATAACGGAAAAATATTGAATTCACAGAGCATAATTAATTCTTTTAATCTTGTTTGTTCCGACACAGTTGTTGAATGTTTGGTTACAGATTTAGCAGAAAAATTGTAATCAATGGTAAACAAAGTTGTAACAACATCGAGCTGATGCTCGTACCATTTCCAAGCAGCTAACACGGCATCTTTGTGAACAATTATCATAGGATCCATTGTTGTTTGATTAACATTCTTTCGTGGTAAATATGTCAAATCATAAACATAAAATTTACTTCGAATAATATTTTGTACTCTCTCAATGAACTTCTCATTTATAGTAGAATCTTCATCGTCACCTTCTGAATATACCACCGTTTCGTAGACTTCACTCAATATACTCATTGAATTGTAATAGAGCTGCATCAAACAAGCAATTCGTAGAACTGTAGCTGCAGCTTTCGCATAGAAATCCCTGATTTGTTGTTGTTGATCAAGTTTTTGATCATTTGACTCATTTAAATCAATAATTAAATTCCATAACGTATACATAGAGGAATGGTCATTTTGAGATTGAAATTGAGATTGTTCATCTGCTACACTATACGATTGATCAAACACAGCTACAATGACATCATAATGAGAAAGATATCAAAAACTACTCGAAGCTTGAATCATGCATACCACCATATATATCTTCTCGTTCAGATTTACTCATTTCGAATACATAACGAACTGTTCCAAACAAATGGACAATGACACATAAATGATTGAATGATGGATTATTTTCAGAATATCTATTTCGACGAAAACTAAAAATGAATAATTTCAACTCATTACATTCTTATTTGTGTACTCTAGATTCGTCACTTTTGCGGTCTTGAGTAAATCATCTTTGGCATAGCCATATAAATAAATCTGTTATGTGACCCATCGAATCCCGTACAATTGCTCCAGTTTTTCATATTTTTCATTAGCTTACCGCCTGTAGATGCAATGAAAATTGTTAAACGTTTATCATCAATGTTGATAATCGTTGTTCCGGTGGTTCGAAATGACTTTTTGAACTTACGAAAAAAAAAAACTTTTATAATTTAGTTTCTTTCTGTACCCTTACCCATCGTGACCACACAGAATCAGATTTCGTTCGTGTTCTTTACCACCATCAGTGGCGTTATATAAACCATAATTTTCCGCAATAATATCGGCATCATCATTGAGTAAGATTTTACTATTTGATGCGAGATGCTGTCTCAAGCCGATATGATTTGTATGAGTAACTACAGATGATAAATGTTCTTCTGTCAACGCTCCGTTGACCATTACAGGTTTCAAGTATGTAGATGGGAACATTTTTTCAGTTTTCGTAATAGCTTTTTCCATTTGACGAAAAGCATGCGTTTTACCACTTCCTTTAAAGTATATTAAAATAGTGAAAAGAAAAAATTCTTAACCTAAGTGAGAGTTAAATAGACGCTTCAGTTCTCTATTTCAGCTGGATTTTGGCTTTAATAAAAAAACCTTTTGTGCAACATTAATGATACTAACCACTTGGACCCAAAATCCACATGTACAACTGAACCGGACGATGATCAGTGCTGGCAAAATGGGTATAATACGATGCTCCGGCAAAGTGTGACATCATTCCCAATGACATTAAAAACAAGAGGGATGGATCATAGTTATACATCTGTTTGTAACTGTTTACCAATCCCATTTGTTGTTCATTCAAAATTTCATTAATCCGGAAGTTCATTTTCGAAGTCACCGCAATATTATGTAATATCATTCCAGATAACAACTTATCGTCAAGCAATGATGTTCTCTTAGCCATATTCCTGTTAAAATATCATAGTCAAGCATGGTCTTCGTTCGTAAAAAGAAAAAACTTTACCGGAAATTTCGATTTTATTTGTATAAATCAATGAATAATTTAAGCAGCAGAAGCGTGAATTTTCACTATACAAAGCTAGCCGTGTGTGGATCATGCTTCTCCTCAATTTAAGAACCACTTAAATAGGCTTCGACAACAAAGAAACTTTTCCGATTTATTCACTCAATATACAAAACAAAGACATCTAGTACCGATATCGTTCTAATATAAAGAAAACAGGTTGATGATCGTCGAAATATTCTTCAAAACCAGTCCTCTTCCATCGACCATCTATCATATCATCTGATATGTCGAACAACTTATACCCTTGATTCAATAGCAACACTAGAGAAAATTCTTTTTCGATAGCGAACATCTGATCACATCTGATATATCATATGACAATCCCTGGACAGAGAACAAGGAGAAGAGAATAAAAACAGCTGATCTTTGTCAGTATCTACAGAACGCAAAATCAGATATATATCTAAATACACATGTGCGTCTGTATGCCGTGCATTTCAAATATATCACCAACAGAAAAGAAAAAAATCATGCCAAGTAAAGTCCGCTTATAAACCTTGAATCAAAACCATACCAACGCTTACTTCCCGAAATTTTTCCGAGAAAAATATCTCTTTCTATTAAACGCTTTCACATCTTCAATACATTTAATCGAATGCCTTCTTCCTATACACTACATGGATATCATCCCCTTTCAACACGATACCAACAACCCAAAACCATACACAACAAAATCGTTCAACAACATCGAATAATCACCTCTTATACTAGCACGCAATTTCCGCCGGTCATCAGCTATATCCTTCTACCAATCTAATAAGATATCATTGAAATCGACAGAATTTGTGAAATTTTCAAATGGATAGTAAACTTCTCATTTCTTCTCTCCTACCAACTTTTGACACTCATAGACAAATATCATAAAATATCATTGAGATCGACGGAACCTGTGAAATTTTCACATGGATAGTAAACATCTGATTTGTAGCTTAGGACGGTTGGAGTGGAGGAGTAGATTTCTGCTGGAAAGACAGAATTTTGGGTAGAAATTTGCTGGGAACTGGTTACAGTTTGAGATTTGGCATGTCCTCTGGTTTGCGTCTGTATCAATGATATGTGAATGTAGACTGATCCTAGTATTGACAAATAACTGTCAAGAAGCATTTGTAAACCGGTTTCCTGAATAAATCTGATGTGAATATAGTTCATATATTCCTAGATCGAAGAATCCGGGCCGGAACCGACTAGTTCCAGGACGTTCCGCGGATTTCGTGGAAGCAGTATTCCGGCGATCGGATCCTTTCATGAGATTTAAAAGATATTATCCAGAACCAGCAAGAACCCACCGTAAACGGTAGTCCGATACGGTTACCGGTTCCTTCGGTAGGATTCCGAGTACTTTCTCGTGGTTTCCAGCGCGGAAACTATGAATATCCTGCGGGTTTTCGCCGGAAATAAGCGGAATACTGCTTCCAGGAACGATC